ATCCAATCCGGATCCCTTCATTGTCTTGTGGATCCGTTCCTTATATTTCTGGTTGAGCGATTTCACTTGGGTCCAGTCCCTGTGTACATTTCACTCCAGGCGCTATTTCTCAAGGGCCTAGAAGCACACACACTGCGACAACGAGGTCAACCCACTTCTATAAATCGAAAGGAGACTGCCACCATAACAGAGGCCACAAAATCTTGATCTTCATATCTTCAATTATACTGTGTGTAAGGTTCACTTTCACTGTGAATTTTATTTAGCCTCTCTTCGTCATGCTGTTCAGGCGAGTTTACAGCTGCAGTCCAGTTCACCTTTAATGAAAATGTGTTAAATGAGGTCGCTTTAAGTGAAAATAAATGATGGAATCCTTGATACTAATTTGCCTATGTACTACTTGCAATCGTGATGTAACTAACTGTGGATAGCGTATATTCACCTTGTGCTGGTAATTGTGGTACCAGTCAACACTTGGACAAAAGGTCAGGATTCCCAACCCTCTAATTAAGAAATATTGTATTGTAACTAGGGGCTGTAGCACTTATCAAAGTGACCCTATAATCCTTGTGAACGATCCCTTCTTGCTTGTCTTATATACATGAATAAGATGGGCAAGATGCCTATCATGTATAATGGGAAATTACGCCTTTCCTATTGGCTACACAAACTGGCCACTCTGAGCCCGGACTTAGGTCTACTTAAGTTTGCCTGAGAGAAAATGCAAGACTCCCGTTATCACCTAATGCGATCCACTTTGTGCCGCTCGTACGAGCTCAAGACATTCTGAGTTGAGCATCAACCCTTTTTTGTCGCATCCCCGAGCCACATGATCTCCCTTTATAATCGAGCTGTCTGAGTTCTTGTCTTCTGTCATACTCAAGTATGGGTCGAGTGTGCCAACTTTGCAGTGGATTTATTAGCTCAGCCCTTGAGTATGAAACCAACAAGGTGGTGCAGATCCGTTCAAAACGGGTGGGCGCCTCATTCCGCATCATCCAACTCTTCTTCGTCCTCTACGTCATCCTCTGGGTCATGATTAAGGAGAAGGGCTACCAAAAGTTTGATAAAGCACAGAGTGGCGTCACGGCCAAACTGAAAGGGATTGCTTTCGCTAACCTCTCCAGCGAGTCAAACATCCAGACTATTGTCTTTGATGCCGCCGACTATGTGATCCCACCACAGCAGAAAGCGGCATTTTTTGTCATGACCAACTTGATCGTGACTCCAGGTCAAGCTCTGGGTACCTGTGAGGAGTCGCACGATGTGCACGGTAACTCGTGCCATAGCGACGCCGATTGTCATTCAGGCCACCTGGTACTGACGGGCAGCGGGGTACAGACGGGACGGTGTGTACGGTCCACACGTACACAGAATTTCTCAGTCTGTGAAATCTACGGTTGGTGCCCAACCGAGCATGACGTCATGCCGCAGACGCATATCCTCGCATCTGCTCCCAATTTCACTGTGATGCTGAAGAACAGCATTGAATTCCCTCGCTACCGCGTGAAGCGGCGCAACATTTTGAGTTGGATGAACAAGCCCTTTTTGTACAAGTGTCGCTACGATCCAAAACATCCAAAGAATCGGTTCTGTCCTATCTTCCGTCTGGGTGATATTCTGCAGTACACGAACGCTGACAACAAGGACATTTGGATGTACGGAGGCATGATCTCGATCTACATCGAGTGGAACTGTAACCTGGACTACGACGAGGAGGAGTGCGTACCCAAGTATACATTTCGTCGATTGGACGACTTCGACAGCGTCGTCGGGAAGGGCTGGAACTTCCGGTTCAGCCAACACTATATCGAGAACGGCGTGCACAAGCGCAATCTGATCAAGGCCTTTGGTATTCAATTCTTTATCACAGTCTACGGCAACGGAGGTAAGTTCGACATGCTTGTCTTCACCATGAACCTCGGCTCTGGCTTGGCCCTACTCGGCATTGCCACAGTCCTCTGTGACATGCTTATTTTGAATGTGACCAGAAAGCGGAACCTGTACCGCAACGCCAAAGTCGATCTGATGGTGAATGAGCGGAATCATATGCTAATGCACAAAAAACAGACTCGCAAACATCGACGCATACCAAAAAGTGGCAACGTACACAAACTTCCAGTCTTGGGCTCCAAAAAGTGTCTAACTGAGCGACGGGAGACTTTGAAGTCGGACATTGGTCAGGAGCCGAAAGCGGAGAGAAATGAGCATGAATCCAATGAAGAGAAATACAAGGAGACTTGTTTAATGAACGAGAAAGAGATGAGATTGCGAGAGTCGGAGACTCTCAGTATATTAGAGGAGGAATTGGACATCTTCCCGGCAGACGAGTCTGGTGAGATGCACCCGCAGTGCTGGCAGATTCAGCTAGGAACCGACT